GGTTTAGCACTGAGGAACTCGAGTCTCTCTGAAAGTCAAAGCTATTTAAGAACCTAAACACCTTGCGGCAGTGATTCTCAACTGGGGCCCCACGAGGGCAGCCCAGCCAGGTAAAACTGCCCTGTGCACACTGCTGTCTCAGCAGGACTGTGATAGGCCTAAAGCAGGCGAGAGCCCCTTTGAGACCAGTCCCTCCCACACTCCTTCCAGAAACTTGAGTCTCTGTTTCCAGGAGAAGAGTGTAAAGGAGGCCAGACCAGAAAGGGCTGCACAGCCTGACATAGCTCCTGGCTGCTTGAGGCTGATCACAGCCCTAACACAGGAGAAGAGTATGCACATGCCAAGCTCTTCCCGGGTTGGCTGTGCAGCAGTTTTATCTGGAGGCAGCCTAGCCCAGTTGAGAAGCACCGAGGTAAGTCGAAGCAGCACCAACAGCGGTTCTCAACTGGGGATGCTGCCACATTCAAACAAGTGGTGAAGTGTGGCCCAACTTTGAGAGGGATGAGAACCGCTGCCTTAGTCACATCTGAAAGCAGAAGAAAAGCACTTAAACTTTAGTTTGATTTCACTAACCAACTATTTTGTTTCATTTTGTGATGCTGCAGTCTGCCAGAATATGACTGAGAGCTTCCTCAGTCACCCACTCACCCATATCTTCCCTGTTCAAAATGTGTAGACTACAAGCAAGAACTGGCAAACTTTTACGCAACTAGTCCTTACTCACATGAGCATTCCCACTGAAGTCTGTGAAGCATCCTGAATTATGTGCACGAATAAGAGTTTGCGAGATTTGGCCATAAAATTAGTTCATCCCAGTCACTGGGGTGTGCATTTTCCTTGCAGTGCTGCTACTTAAAATTACATAATTTGCTAATACAGTATCCCCCATAACCTTTCTAATTACAACTACACCATTCTGATGCTGTAACACAGGGGTCATTCAATACAGCATCATTCCTATATTATCGATAACTAGACTTAGTACCAGCAAATGCCAAAGTTACAAGATAATTAAAAACACAGGTTAGAGTCTTGGTTATCATTAGACGAGCTGCTACTCGTTTTGGGCGTCAAACACACACGTACTTGGATGAGGACGTCCAGCCAACATCCACCGGGGATCATAGGGAGTCTTGGTGGGAACGAACTCAATAGTTCTGTCTATCGGATCCTTGACACTGAGGATAGGAACCGGGCAGGACACACTCTGCGATAAAGAAAGAAAAGACTGAAATCATCC